GGGATCATGTGTAACCCCTAAATTACAATGCATCATCAGGACAGTACCCTTTAGAGACACTCCAATCCCTTATTAAAGTCGATCGAGAGCGGGTTGATATGCGCACAAAAATCAATCATTAAATTAAAATGACAGTGAATTCTTATCACTAGAGCTTTGCTCAGCATTATTTAATTTGGGAGATTTTAATCCCTAATACATAATGACGATGTAACAAACAATAGCAATAATTTTTTTTACATGCAAGTAGGGAGTATTTTAATTAATAGAGGGGTATTCATGGTACCCATTATTTAATACTCTCCTCACCATTTACATAGTACAAAAGCTCCCATTAGTGGAGTCTTAGCCTATTCTAGAGAGAAGGGGCCATCCGAGAAGAAGAGGGATCCTTTAAAATGGCAGGGGAGCCTCCTATTTATATAAAAAAAAGGGAAGGATACAAGCTTTCCCTAATGGGCCAAACATGGGCACTCAAGATCGAAGAGCAAAATAGGCCTAATAGGCTGAAATGGGCCTCAACATTCGGGCTCCGCACTGGGGCGATGCATTGGGCTCCTGAATTGTAGTGTGTCAGGATAATATATCCCAACACTTGTCATAAGTGAATGAAATTTTTGATACCACTGCCTTGGTGCCCGTTTAAGCCCATAAAGACTCTTCTTCAACTTGCAAACAAGTTTTCTTTCCTCTTTTCTTCAAAGCCTCCAGGTTGCTCCATGTAGATTTTTTCATGCAAGTCACCATGTAGAAAAGCATTTTTTACATCAAGCTGCTCCAATTCAAGATCAAGCCTTGCAGCTAACGCTAAAATTGTTCTAATAGACGTCATCCTGACAATAGGAGAGAAGATTGCATCAAAATCAATGCCCTTTTTCTAGTTGCATCCTTTGACCACCAATCGAACTTTCCGCTTCACGATCTTCTCACCATCTTTCTTATTCTTGAAAACATATCCATTTTCAAGACTTCCTTGCCTCGGGGAAGATCCACTAACTAATAGGTATCATTCTTATTCAACAAATCCACGTCTTCTTTCATAGCCTTGAGCTAAAGATTTTTGTCTTTACTAGACAACACTTCTTGAAAACTCTCGAGCTCCCCCTCATTAGTGACTAAGATGTAATCTGTGTTTGGATACTTTGTAGAAGGTTTACAATCTCTAGTTGACCACCTAACCTGAACATCATCCACGAGCGGGGTAGGTTGCCCCTCGCTCATGAACCTCTTCATTGTATTGTTTGGTTGAGCATAATTAGGAGCATCATCAAACTGTGGTACATCACCATCATCACTGGGTTGCATATCCTCAAGACCATCATGTGTTGTATCAGGATCATAATGTGTTGGTTGTTCCGTGGAAACAAAAGTAAGAACAGAAGAAACATTAGTACATAGTATCAACAAATGAATCAGAGTAAGTATGATACCTGCACTCAAAAGTCCTGCTCCCATCTCGTGCTCAAAGAACATCACATATTTGCTTCTCACTACTTTCTGCTTCTCGGGATCATAGCGCCTGAACCCATACTCTTCATCACCATAACCAACAAACATACATGGATTAATGTTGGAATCAAGCTTCAACTTATGATCTTTAGGCACATGCATATAAGCCTTGATCATCCAAAGACACAAAGGAATAGATGGAGAATGGTTGATCAAGTAAACAACAGTATTCGTTACCTCTACCCAAAATGACTTAGGTTGACCAAACATCTTCAACATACAGATCACTTTCTCCATAATGGTTTTGTTCATTCTCTTTGCAACACCATTATGTTGTGGATCGGAGTGCCAGGAGCTGTCTTCACATGTTGAATGCCATGTTGTGAACAATAATTCTTGAACTCATGTGAATTATAGTCACCACCATTGTCAGAACGAGGGCACTCTAATTTTCTTTCTATCTCCCTTTCCATCATAGCATGAAATTTCTAAAATATCTCAAACACTTAGATCTTGGTCTTCAACACGTAAACCCAAGTTTTTCTGGTAGCATCATCAATGAAAATGATAAAGTATTTATTGTCACCATTAGACTCTACCTCAATGGGACCACAAACATCGGGGTGCACAAGCTCTACTTTAGTTTGCCTCTTAGTAGACTTCGTGGTAAAATAAGCTCTATGCTGCTTACCGGTCAAACAATGATCACAAAGGTCAAGAGCAAATGTAGTATCAATGGGAATAAGAGATTTACCTGCAAGACATTTTAAACTGTTCTCAGTCATGTGTCTTAATCTGCGGTGCCACAAATTAGGAGAATTCTTCTCTTCCACTACATTAAGTTGACCTAAACATGCACTCAAATATGTCTTGTACAAAGAGCAACACAATTCACCGCGTGTAATTGTTATGGAACCCTAAGACAATTTCCACTTACCATCTCCAAAGGTGCATGTGTTTGAAACCTTCTTGATCAAGAACATTAACAGATAACAAATTAAGGCGTAGATCAGAAATATGACGCACACCTTTCAGTGTAAGTATGCATCCAACACTAGTATTCACAAGAATATGACCTAATCCAACAATGCTTGCTGAGCTTTGGTTACCCATCTTAACATTACCAAAATCACCAACTTAGTAGTTCATGAGGTACTCTCTTCTGGAAACACAATTATATAAAGCACATGTATCTACAAGCCACTCTGAGTCCGAACTATCAACATTATGACACTCTCTAGTTGCCCAAATCAATGAACATCATCATCACTCTTAGAAGCTATTATTTCAGTGGCTTTGTCAGATCCTTCTTTTTGTGAATCATTTTTCTTCCTCTGTTCTCTTTTCAAACAGAAATAATACTTCTTGATATGACCAGGCTTCTTGCAATAATGGCATGTTGTGAGATTCTTCACATCACTGGACTTGGACTTCCTTCTTGATTTATTGTGACCTTTGAGACCCCTATTCTTGCTCCTTCCTTTGTTCTCAACAACAAGAGCATGTGTATTATCAACTCCCATCTCATTTCTTCTGATTTCCTCATTAAACATGATTTTTTCAATGACATCCAAAGATAGCACACCGTCCGGAGCAAAGTTACTAATAGTCACAACCAAGGTTTCTCAACTGTTTGACAAATAACTCAAGAGAAATATAGCCTGCAACTCATCATCAAGACAACTTTTCATGGTAGTCAACTTGCTAATCAAATAAGTCACTGAGATGCTCAGAAACAGAATTTTCGCTTTTCAATTTCAAACTCACAGATTCTTAATCAAAGAAGATTTATTATGAGCATTCTTCCGTTCATGAAGACCTTGAAATTTCTTCCATAAATCATATGGATCAAACTCTTGCGACACATGGTTGAAAATGCTAATATCAACCAACTGTCTAATAGTCCCTAAAGCCTTTCTTTTCATCTTTAGTCATTCTTTCTCTTTTCTTTGGTTTGGATGGTTTAGAAGTAGTACCATCAGAATTGGTGACATATTCTATTGGTTCATACAACTCCTTAACATATAATATGTCTTCCATCATAGGTCGCCAAATAGAATAATTAGTTGATGTCAATTTTACCATTGAATTGCTACTACCTAATTCCTTAATGTGACAAATTAAACTCCGGCTCTGATACGAAGTTATAGGGATCAATCAAGGGGTCTCTATGACAACCACAATGTCACACACTCAAGACAATCAACTAACTAAGCAACCTAATCAACCCAAATTGTCACACAACCAAACCACCACATTATATTCTGCAATATTATTGCATAATATAAACCACAATAACAAGCGGAAATAAAGCACAAAGAGCACATATGATTTTTTACGTTGAAAACCCTTCAACGTGAAGGATAAAAAACCAAGGGACCTCTTGAGGAGTCCACCCTTACTTCTCTTATTGATAAATGAGAGTAAAAGAACCCCAAATCAGTTCACAAAGGATTCACAATCCACCAACAATCATCAAGAACAACACGAGATCAAAATAGCACAATAAGGTGTAGACATCATCCAAAACTGCAGGTTTGTTCGAGCAGAGTTGTGACCAAACCAAGGCTTAACACAACAATCTGACCATTCAAAATGAAACAAAATCCGACCACGGGATCACCTCCGATCGTAAAGCTGATTGAAGCTGTGTACTGCAGTCTGAAAATCGAAAATCTCTGTACAATTTTTCTGTTTAGTGTGTGCACGTGGAGTAGCCTACAATTCCCTTCCAGACATGATGTTTTGCAGCAAAAGGACCTCCAAAAAATTCTCTTGAAAGCTCAAAGCTCAATATCAAATGCACTAAAAAATGAGACATAAAAATCTATCATAAAAGCCCGAACATAAAACATCACAAAGTTTTCTATACGTGCTTGGTGTAAACAATAAAATAATGCAAATATGGGTTGGAGCCATAACAAGCTTATGTGTATAATTATTCAGCCGTGCTTGATGTACACTTTTTGGTGTACACCTTTCGTACACTTGCGTGTGTCTATACATAGACAATCCTACAAAATTGACTGTGTACAAACAACTTTGTATGCATAAGTCAAACAAGTGTGCGAAATGTGTACACAAAAAAGTGTACATCCAGCATTTTTCATAATTATTTTAAAATTATTTTTAATGATATACACTCTCTAATTCACTATGTGGAAGTTCATTTGTTTCTTCTCTCTTTTTTTATTATGTTTTTGTATTATTTTATCATTTATTTTTGTTTGATGTAGTTTATTTTTAGTTTTCAAATTACAATGTTTTTTACTTAACAAAACATTTTGGGAAAAACCGATCAAAATAAATTGAACCGAACAAATCACAATTTCAAAGATGAAAGATAGAACTGAACCAAACTTTTTTGACTTTGATTTGGCATTTGGTTTGAATCAAATCGAATCATTTGAACCCAACTTACTCCTGACCCTTACGAATAATTTGCACTACAATACCCATCTTTTAGAGAATGGGTCCCAAATTTCTGTGTTCCTCCGACGTGTCATCCCCAAACCTAGCTAGATTTACACAAGTAAAGATGTGCGCGTCCATTATAAGATATCACTCCATCAATTTCGCCACTCCGAAAATTACAGAGAACCTCAACCACCGCTGTCGGCGGTGATACCACATTTGCCGGCTAAGTTTGCGGGCAGAGTGCTGGTTGACTTATTAGTTCAAATCTTGATCTTAGGTCTTCAAATCTTGCAAATTAAAGATGTCTGCCAAACAGAACGGCACCATCGCTGCAACTCCGACGGCGGCGAGGGCCGCTGACCCACTCAAACAACCACCCCGCCCTTACATCCCCCAGAGGATTCACGACGTCCGACATAACCGGCGGCGGTGCAGCTGCCGCAGATGTTTCTGCCTCGGGTGCTTCTGGGCAGTCCTCATCATCTGTATCCTCTTACTCCTAGCCGCCATCGCCGGAGCCGCGTTCTACGTCCTCTTCCGTCCGCAGCGCCCGGAATTCTCCGTCTCTTCCCTCAAGATCTCGCAATTCAACCTGACTACGGCCTCGGACGACACGACGCGCCTCACCGCCAAGCTGAACCTCACAATCTCCGCCCGAAATCCCAACAAGAAAATGGTCTACACCTACGACCGGATCTCCCTGACGGCGATCGCCAGTGGGATCGCCATCGGGAACGGGTCGTTCCCGGGATTCACTAGCAACCCGAGTAACATCAGCGTAATCCACTCGACGCTGTGGTCGATGTCGCAGGCGGTGCTGGATTCAGATTCAGTGTCGGAATTGAAGTCAGATCTGAAGAAGAAGAAGGGGGGAATGGCGATCAAGATCTTGATGGACACGATGGTGGCGGTGAAGCAGGACAAAGTGAAGAGCAGGAAAGTGGGGATCAGAGTGACATGCGAAGGAATCCACAGCCAAACCCCTAAAGGCGGCGGGAAGAAGAAGACCCCGGCCGTGGCAACAACCTCTGGTGCAAGCTGTAAGGTGGATCTCAGAATCAAGATCTGGAAATGGACTTTCTAATTTTGGATTTGTTTTCTCAATTTGCTTTTTTATTTATTTACTCCGTAATTAATTACATACGCTTTTTTTCCTTCGGAAATTGGCTGGAGAAGAGAAACCGGATTTAGAAAGAAATCTGGGGGCTGGGAGCCTTTACTTTGTTGTTTTTGTTTTGTTATCGATGTCACAGTGTGTGGTACAGCTCATTTTTTCCTCTCGTTACTTTTTTTAATCCAAATTTCTCGCTCAACCAACTGTGCGGGTCCTTCCATTACTTTCACATAGGGTGGATTAGGTTCGGGCCACCCGGCCCGGCCCGCTACTGTGCAGGCCCGGGACCGGCCCTGCAGTTTTACAATCATTACTTAATTAACCAGATTGCATTATTATGAAACTTTAATTTAATTCAGTGATTTTCATGCGGTTAGTGAGTCTATTTTCTAGCTCAATATTTCTTTAAACAACTATTTTTTGAACGGTAAACAAACACATTAATTCATCACTAATACAGTATTTCTTTTTTCAGTCCCCATCTTTAGCAACTACCAAAATATTGAACGATATGGATCTTTTCTTGTTAAGTTTTTTGGCTTCTGCTTTCATTTATCACTGTTGAAGTTTAGTCCCGCAGATCTTAAAGCTCAACACCCGTTTGTATATTAAGTACGTGGAAAATAGGTTGAGGATAAAAGAAAATATAAAAACTGAGTAACATTGTGCTCAAAAGCCCACTTGTATTAAATAATTCGTTGATTACACATGAAACTTCCCGAACGACACGTCAGAACACTGATTAATGCAAGAACAAGAGTAAGAAAGCTATTCTAGACCTTGAGTATCAAAATGTTAACCCGTTACAATGTAATTAATACCCCTATTTATACTAAAAAGGGGTAGGTGGGGGTATGAGGTGCTCCATGCTGATTGGTTGCTAATCCAGCCGCTTGAACATCTATGCTTCCACTTGTTGACGCCATACTCTAGCATTTAATGCACTTTGCCACTTACCGGCTGCCCGTTCGGGCAACGGAATGGCGGTCCTCTTTGGTGTCCCGTTAATCTGCCTCTAAGTATATCATGTGAGCCGTTCCCCGTTCGCGATCCGAGTGAACTCTTATGGACCCTCGGTTCTCGTTTGGGTTACATCTCTTCCTGGGCCCGTTTTCCCTGGTGGCCTTTGGGCCGGGTATTGGGCCTTCGGCCTAATATCCCAACACGAGTCCCCCATTTCCGATGTCTCGAACGGTAGTGAGTGCATAAGGAAGTAGAACTTTTATGCCGAGTATCGACCGGGAGATAGATCTCGTTGGTCTGCAATGTCATGAGTTAGTAACTTATTGCGGCTGTCATTTGATTTTCCCCGTAATCGTCATGATTATTGGCCTTTGTTTCTCCGTGACACGTGTCTTCTCAAACACTTCTGGTGACGTGTCTCTTTCTGGTTGGTCAATGAATCATCGCTTGCCAGGCTATAAGTAGACCTTTGGTTCTCCGATTCTGGGTTTCGAATTTTTCAGATCCTTCGTGCTCTTGCTCTGCCTTCTTCTCTCTAGGTTTCTTCGAGCTCCGTCCGTTCAAGTACACTCTGCCCCTTCCTCTTGTTTTTTTCACTTCGTGTTCGGTCAACATGTCTTCTCGACCACATTCTTCCGTCTCGGATTCGGAGTCCACCTCTCAAGGGGAAATTCATGACACCGCTGCACAGGACGATACAACTGTCCCCTTTGTTGATGTTGTCAGTAATGCGACTGCGGGGGCGGTTGATGAAGATTCTACAGACGACTCTACTTCTTCCGGCGAGGACTCTGGTGGCACGATGTCCGGTGATGAAATTGCCTCAATGACGGCTGGTCCCCCAGGTGATGTCCCTCGTTATAAGGTTGATCTAAGACTAATCAGGGAGAGGAGGCAGAAACTGACTTCTCACAATAGGGATCAAATTCCAGCCCTAATTCTGGACCCGGTGGATTTCCGTCTTCGGGTTGGGCTTCACCCAATGCGCCACCTCCCTCGGATGGTGGTGGTCCATCTAGACTCAGTGAAAGCTAGGCTTAGGTTTCCCTTGCATCCATTTTTTGTGTCCTTCTTCAAATTCTATGAGGTAGTACCGACCCAAATCATGCCGAACTCATATCAGGTGATGGCCGGCTTGATTTGCCGTTGTGTGGATGCCAAGGTTACGTCGAGTCTGGAACTGTTCAATCAATTTTTTAAGGTGGCCCCTCAGCAGACACACGGGTACTTGGCCGCAACTGCCCGAACGAGACATGTATTATTTAAGGGCAACCTAACTTCAATCAAGGTGTGGAAAGACCAATTTTTCTTTGTTTCCATCCCGGACGGTCTGATCCCAAACAGGTGGAATGCCTTCCCTCGTAAATCTCCAGATCCGCTTCTTACCGAGAAGATCTGCAAGGATGTTTTTGCGGTGGAGGAGGGCAAAACCTGCAACATTATGGAGTACCTGACTCCTGATCAGCTCGTCAAATCCAGGATAGGTACTGCCCGTATTCTTGGGTTTACTTGACTGAAAACCAAGTGCGAGAAATGTTCCTCTTTAGTTTCCCACGTGAAAGACCGTTCGGTACTAACTTTCGCCTTTGTTGTTTTTTTTTCCAGCTCCCAACCGAGACGCTCCCATGGATGACAGTCGTGTGCTTGCTGCTGGTGGAGTAGCAAAGAGGAAGAAGGCTAAGAAGAATAGCCACCCCAAATCTTCCACTACTGCTCCTCAGAACACCGATCAGCCCCAGCCTGCTCAGGTCGCTCAGCCCATTCAGCAGGTTTCCCTTGAACAGGTCTTTGATGATGATATGCTGATAGACAATCCGTTCGGGTCAAACCCGCTACATCATCTTTCTGATGCATTCCAGACTGCTCAGGATGTGAGCATGGGGTCAGTCAGGTTACTGCTGCCGATGTTGCTGGACAAATCAGACGGATCTCTCTGGAAGATCCGGTCCACGAGACCTTAGAGAAGGCCGGCTCCTATGCGAGCCAGATCTGGACTACTTCTGCCTTTTTCAACAATTTTCCCTTGCCCAATCTCCCGGTTGATCGGGCAGAGGAATGTGTTGCTTTAACGGCTTTGAAGGTACTTTGTTTCCCGTGTACTTTGTTTCATACATTACCACACATTCCTCATCTCATCTTTTATTCCCGAACGACTTGTAGATGGGGATGTACAGCTTGGAGCTGAGGGGGCTCGCTTAGCCAAGGAACGGGAACTGATCATCATTCAAACTTCTGTCGAACAGGCTGCCGTTGCCGCCCTTGCAACCCTTGAGGCCGAATGGAAAGCTTTTGCTGAAGAGAAGCAGAGGCTCGAGAATGAGCTGGGTGGGCTTTGGGTTCAGCTGGCCGTTTCCCAAGCTAAAGTCTTTGCTGCTGAGGCTGCTTAGATTAAGTTCGAGGAGACGCCCCCTGCATCCCGGACGGTCCCACTAAGGTGAATGTGGATCTGTCTGCCGTCCGGGAGGCGTTCAAATCTTCTGATGAATTCGCCGCCATCAAGGAGGAGTATGCCTGGCAACAGCTCCCAACAGTTTTTGGGGCTTATCTCGAGAAATTCCCCCCGGGGTGATCTTAGACGTACGGAAGGAGTGAAACTACTTGATCAGGACCATCGAGGCAAGCATTTTAACGACTCCTTGGCCAAGTCTCTTTATGTCATGGGCTGTCAGCACATTTTACTCCCCTTCTTGGCTAAGCTGCAACAATTACTGGGCAGATCGGTCACGCCTTCTGATCTTCCTCCGGCCCCCATTGTCGAGGCTCAGTTCGACAAATATCAACGAGACCTACAACGGGCCACCGATCGTGAGGAAGGAAAGAAGCCTGAACCCCCCTCCGACTCGAACGAGGGCAAGGACGAAGATGATGAAGGTGACAAGGAAACCCCCGGCCAGTAGTTTAGACTTTTACACCTAGTGTTGTCCCATTACTAGTGTAACTTCCGGCCAGTAGTGCCGATGAATAGAAATGACCTCTTTTTTGCCCATTTATCTTCCGCATGTTTTTTCTTTGTTCTCCCCTTCGAGGTTTGGTCTATTATATGGGACTTTAACTATTTTCCCATCTTCTCTCCATTCGGGTAATTATTCGTGCGAGGTGGTTTTTGTCTGATTACGTCCCTTGACTCCTTCCCATTTACCTTCGTCATTTTTTCGATGAAAGTACGGATTGGTCCTTGGTCGTGATTCGGCATTTGGTGCAGCTTTCTTTAATTATCACACGTTTCCCGTCCGGGATTCTTTGGTTGCTTGAAAACGCCATTATTGCTCGCAACTACTGTCGCCACGTGTCCCATATGCATTGGGGTTTTGGACGGCAATTTCTTTTATAAGAAGAGAGGTGCTTCCTTCTCATTTTTCTTGCTGTTTCTTTAATCTTTTCTAGCTTTTCATAAGCTTTCTCTCTCTAGAATTTTTGGGTTCTTGGTAGCATTTTTTCCTTATTTTATGTTCTTCTCCTCTAGCTCTTCAGAAGAAGAAGATATGCCGCTCATTCGTCGTCCTAGGGGAAAAAATAACAATACTAACAAGGCGGGGGGTTTTTCATCACAAGTGTCGGATTCTATCAACTCCTCTGTATCCCGTCATGCCGACCAGCCACTCCCAGATGATGGTTATACATCGGGCGATGACCTTGTCACTTATGAAAAGGGGATGCCCGAACGTCCCCCCCCCCCCCCCCCCCCCCCGCATCTCTTTTCACTTCCATTGCATAAGGAGGCAACGCCAATGCCTTCCTGAAGACGTCGAACAACGAATTCACCAATTCCTGCCCCCTCCTAGGAAATTTTATGCGGGTTTTATTAAGCACCCCATGAGGCACCGATCGGGACATCTGCTAGTGCATCTAGATGCTTTGGCATCCGGGCTTCGCTTCCCCCTACATCCGTTTATTGTTGATTTCTTGCGTCGGGTCTCTATACTTCCGACCCAATTTGTGCCCAGCACCTACCGAATTCTGTCCGACTTCATCATCCGGTGTCACGATCTGGGGATTCCCCCTAATGTTGACTTGTTTCTATATCATTACAGCTATCAACCCTACTGGACTACCGGGTACTTGAGGCTGGTTGTAACACCGTCCCCGAATGTATTTATCTTTAAGCGAATAATTTATTGAACCCTGTGAAATTTTTAGTGAATTTACGAGGTTGTGAATTTGTATTAATTTTTTCGCGTGAATAGTAAAATGCACGTGGGGCCCACATCGGGAGTGGGGACCGCCCGATATTATCGGGACCACACATTATATTCATCTGGGTCTAGAAAATATTTATAGATGGTGGATACTTCATTTGGGCCATGGAAAGGCACATAGTTGACCGATTGGTCAATAGAGGCCCAAATACCGGTATCGATAAATTTATCAGATAAAAGCCCGAAAGTGGATTTTGGAGACTTATAAATTAAAGTTGGGGAATGCATATTCATTCTAAATGTTATAATGATTAAGAACACGTAATATATTTATTTAACCCGATAAAATAAAATATATCTAAAACAGTCCAGAAAATACAACTTTCGGGGCAAATTGTACACTTTGGGACAAATAGGATGACCTCCCACATGGGTGGGGGCCACCCCACGAATTTGTCAACCCTTGGGGGCTGGATGAGTGCTAAGTTGG